CTCGATATTTTTACAATCGAGGCCGTTGCACGCTCATTTGCAGAGAGAGACGAGTTTTTTTGCTTGTGTTTGCATTATTTTGGCAGTGATGACTTCAGTGCTTCGTAGAATTGCATTATGGATTTTTCTTTGTTCAGTTCCAGAAATTCGCGCGGATTTTTCAGAAATTTAATCCAGCATCGGGATAATATAATGCAAAATTAATATATCATTATAATAATATAATGCAAAAATTATGTTATTATTAACAGAATGGTCTATATTCATATATTCATTCAAGAAGTGAAATTAGGAAGAATTTGTTATTATGTGTTTATCTCGAGATTTGCAGAACGAAATTCGACAATTTTTTTTCGTTTTCAAGGTATTTTTTTAACCCTTAAAAAGGGACGTGATTTATTCAAATCGTATCATTTTTTCCAGAGAAATTCCTGATTTTATTTACCATTTATTCATGATGAATGAATAAGAGAAAAATGAGAAATGAGAAATTCATGATTTAATTTCATTCATTTATCTCAGAAACGACTGCTTTTGCGAAAAAATATTTGACGGAATTTTTATAAAAAAAATTTTCAGTTATTGAAAACATTTATTGACAATTCCTCCTAAAATTCCTCGCAAAATATAACAAAACGTTGAATTGATCATGAATAAAAAAAATCAAAATATGAATAAAGCGGTGAAGATCGATCAACCATATCAAAATACAACCCATAAATTAGTAATTCGATCAACGTGTAGACGGATGATGCGATTGTGCATGCAAGGCCGTTCACCACAGGTGGCCCACTGAGCCAGATAAGATGAAGTGCATGCGAGAGTGACTAGAGCGGAATGATCTCATAGCATTGCGTGTCGATGCCTTATAGCACCACGACATCGCCCCGACTACTTTGTTCGGCGGATCGGACAGGGGTCAATCAATTAAAGCACTCGCGCAACATCCATTCGTTCCTTTTTCGTCAGGAGCCGTCTCCAAGGTTTAGTTGGACACCACTTCCATTCCAATATCGGGGGGTACTAATGACAAACTCTTGTTTCATTGCCCCCATTGGCCAATTATGGAGAGGAGTGTCGATTAATTCGATGTAAACGGTTGTGAGGGAATTTGCATTCGGATTGGATGATACGAAAATCGTGTTGTGAGATTTTTTAATGTAAAACCACAATTTATGAAAGTTTACTCCATGAAATTAAATAGAAATTGAATTTTCTAGTATTCACTGAATTCTTATGATTTTCAAAGCATTTGTGGTTTTCAATTGACGATTTTTCCTGTTCGAAAATAAATCTAGCCATGCTTTATTAAAAATGTATCACCTGATACTTTGACGCGAATAATTCTGAATTAATGTTTAATTTGTTTCGATTAATAAGAATAAAATAATAATTCTGAATTGAGGCTCAATTAATGTTGAATTAATTCTGAGATTACGTAGAGAAAAAACATTTCTAGTATGCATTAAAAATCTGTAAATTTCAGAACATCTGGGATTTTTAATTTATGGATTCCCTGTTCTAAAATTAATCTCCTAAATTCTCAAATGTCTTTCAAAATAAAATCTTTGAAATTTATCACTTAATCTCCCCACGATTAATTTCTAAAAATTCTATTGAAACTCCAGATGATCAAAACTCTCCAACAAACAACTGGACTTTACACTGAGAAGACAAGAAATTGGTTCACATCAAGAAAATAAGTTCTCAAATCAATTCAAATGGTTTCTGCATTAAAATATTTTAGAATTGAGGCTAAAAACTATTCAATGAATTAATTCAATGTCACTTGGTTTGAGAAATCGCTTTCCTGTCATTTTTCTCGTCTCTCATTTAATTCAGTAGTGAAGTGGTAAACTGAGATAAGTCGACTTATCTCCCAGTTGAGTTTTTGAGGAATATTTCCGAATCTAAGGGAGATAGCGAAATTTTCGTAATTACATTTATTGTAGCACTCAATCGGCTCCACAAAAAAGGTTATAACGAAAATTTTGCTATCTCCCTTAGATTCCGAGATATTGATTGAAAACTGGTCAATAGTCAAAATTGACTCATCTCCTTTTACCCCTTCGCTACTGAATTAAAGTAAAACAATTGTTTGATAAAAAAAATGTGCGTGCCACTCCGTGCACCTAAACAATCGCGTAAGAGCCAATTTCGTATCCCCCAGAAGAGAAAGGAGGCTGAAGGACGTGTGTGTGTGACACAAGGTCACAGCAGAGGATTCGCATGACGCAGCTCCCAGTAAAAAACAAAAAAAAAACCCGGGGTCATTTGCACCAAAATCGTCTGGAGATCGAGAATAAAGGAGGAAGAATATATCGATTCCACGGCGCACACGGCCCAGCTATTTTCAATTTTCGTGTCTACAAAATTCTCAGAAAGAAAAATAATTGATCCCACGCCAGGAGGAACGAAAGTGTTCGGTACTCGTTGTTTTTTCAGTTACCGAAATACTCGTTTTTCCACTGCATTATGCTTCTCCATGCGGGAGAGAAAAAAAATGCAGGTGTGAAAGGAAAATAGTGGAGCTCTTTGGTGATTGAATGATTGTTGAAGGAAGCAATATCAATGCCAGTCAGCGGATAATACGCAAATGCGGGCAGTCTCGGTGCCAGAATACGATAAGAGACAAAGAACGTGATGCCATCAGTGTAAATTTGTTAAAAGAATCATGGCTAACGTTCGGACAACGCTTCCCGGTCGTTTTATTGCTTCCGAATGGGCGCATTACGATGGATTTAGAAGAATGTCGATGACAGAAGATTTATATTATTTATTTTTGTTGTTTATGTGTGCGATTTTGGGGGGAAGTTTTGGGCATTTGTTTGGAATAAATTAATTATTCAACTGTGAGTGTAATTGGGGATTTTTTTGTGATGAATACACAGGATTTTGTGAAATTAAGAAAATTCATAGTTTGGGGTGATTGGAATAATTAATTATTATCTGGGATTGAATTGATTAAATTCAGATTGTGCCTTCTTGAATGTGAATATTGTAGCTTTGTAAAGAATAAAGGTTCATTCTGGTTCAGAGTTCAATTTTTTAATGGTTAATAACTAGAAAATTCAAGAGCATGAAATTCAATGGAAATAGGGATTTTAACATGAATTCTCGCACATGAATTTTTTTTTCCTTGCGCTTGTAATGAGAATCAAAACAAAAACAGCAGGAAAAATCTTGGAAAATTCATACCCAAGAATTTCTGGTTAGTCTCAAGAGAACACCTCATACAGAAAAATCAGAATCTAGTTATTTTTCCTACTGAATATCTATGAAAAGAATAATAGTAATAAAATGAATGAATCACTTTGTGATAAAATTCTGATGGACTTCAGTGGAAATATTAAGAGAATTTCAATAGAATTTCTTAGATGAAACTCAATATTTTTCAATTAGAATTTTTCTACTTGTCCTGGAAATTAGTCAACATCATTCACCAACAGTTTCAATCAACATCTATTGTTTTTTTCAATTATTATATCTATAATTTCTTTGCGTCGATTTTTTAACAAATTTTGGATGCAAAACAAATGAAAGTTTCAGTAAAATTGTGATATAACTGCAATGGAAATCTCGTAGAACAACATTGGAGTCCTAGAATAATTTTATTGAAATTATATTCCTTCTTTGCTTTCATTCTTCACTGATTTCAAATCATGACAAAGAAGTACTCTCTAAAAAAACAGAACATAGCAAAAATAAAACAAACAGAATTTCTTACTAGGATTTTATGAGAATTCCAATAGAACTTTTCAAAGACAGCTGCGTGTTCTTCCCTCAAATATTTCCCCACGAGTTACAAAAAATGTCCATCAGCAATATCCTCAAACCCCCAAGACCAAACCAGAACATCAAGAAGATAAAACAACTAGAATTCCAGCAAAACCCGAGTAGAATTTGTTGACTAAAGTTTCACGTATTTTCCTTAAAGTTGTTCCCACAGGAAAACTATCCCCCAACCCTGAGAAAAAAATTATTTTTCCTAAATTTTCATTTGCTTGAGAAACATAAATTTTTTTAAAATCATATTTCTCCAATCGAGTCATTCCCGGCCGACCCTGATTACGTTTCAATTATGACAATCATGTTGCTTTAGAGGATGACAATGTTGCATGTGCCCTTGGATGAACCTAGCGAAAGATTCGACAACAGAAGATTTATCTTAGGCGAATCTAGAGGTGTACAAATGTTTTCAAGCAATGTACGAACGCTTTTGCACTTAAAAAACATTTGTAGGCGAGGTTGAGGTAAAATGGACACTTTTGACTTTTTTTAAAATGTTAATGACCGGTTGAAATGTTGATAAAATTTAATCATTTTTTTTCTTAGCAGAGAACAATTCTTTCCCTTTGTGATGAGTCTAAATTAAGCTTAATTGATAAATTTGTTTCTGAGTTATGAGTAATTAAAACAAAAGTCTAAAGTTAAAAAAAAACTCTAAAAGTCTAAAGTTAAACTCTAATCCATTTTGCCCCACCTTCCCCTACAATGATTATTTAACTTTCCCACACTTAAATATTCCCCCTAAATTGAATTTTCCGCTGACAAAAATTCTGCCAGTCACAGCTTCATCTAAATTTCTCATTTTCTGTGTAATATTGATAATTATTGAGGGAGTTCACTGAAGGTCATGACTAACTTGCTAAAAAAATACTGAAAAAATAAATCAGTAGTGAAGTGGTAAACCGGTATAAGTCGATGTTGACTACAGCCCAGTTTTCAATAAATATCTAAAAATCTAAGAGAAACAGCAAAATTTTTGTCATAACCTTTTTTGTAGCTCTCAATTTGCTCTACAAAAAAGCAAACAATAACAATTTCGCTATTTCCCTTAGATTCCGAGATATTCATTGAAAACTGAGCAATAGTCAAAATCGACTTACACCAGTTTAGCACTTCGCTCCTGAAATACTCCTCTCAAGTATATGGTTTTTGTCAAAATCACTGTTGTCTCCCCGAAACTCCCCAAATTCCCAAAAAAAGATCATCAATACCTCTTGTGTCAACTCAGCACTGGCGTCCTGGCGATTCCCCTGAGCCTCGCTGTGTGGATCAGGCTCGCTGGCATTCCTCCCATTCCCCTCAGCACTGGGTCCAGCAGCCTCGCCAGGATCCCTCCCAGGGTCCTCCACATTCAACAAGTACGCATGAATGTCATTAGGCGCACCCAATCTGTTGTACCTCCCCAGCGAATTGAGCTCCTCAAACAGATCCCTCTCATAATTAATCAGCATAGAGTCCAAGTTCTTGGGATGGACAAACATGGGTCTGTGGACGACAGTCCTGGCGTCGGTGTGCCACCCGGACCCATTGTGTAGGTTCAAAGACCCCACTCCAATGCTCTGAATGTCCAGCCCCAGATAGCTGTCTGGGTCGACCCTGAGGAGGGACAACAGCAGAGCCAGCTGGAGCAGCTCCTCCCTGTACAGTTTCTTGATGCACAGCATTGCACTTCACCAATTTATTCACTGAAAAATCCCCCAATGAGCCCTCACCCCTGTACCATCACTCCAGGCCTCACTGAACTATCACAGAAACGTAATCACCACTAGAGAAAACAATAAGTACTCAAAAATCGACGAGCATTGTCATCAGCACCACCAACTGTCACTTCCATTCAGTTTAATTCGTCAACCGGTTAAATGTCCCCACGAAAACACTTTTATCTCGGCGAATTCATCGCGTATCGAGTCTTAATGTCAGATTATCGGAAAATCAGTTCACTTTATTATTCGAGAACAAAGAGACTGGCGATTCTGGAGGATGCACCTCTCAGCTGCACAGTCAGACGCGAAATAAAACGAGCACTGGGTCCTCCACTCGCGTCTAGTCTTGGTCAGTTACATGTGGTACTAAAATAACCTCAAAACTCATCTATGGAGGACACCAGTGTCCGAGTGCGCACGAGTTAGTCACAATTGCACTTTAATCCGGGGGAAATTGCCTGTCACTTCGAATCCATAAATGGAAAATCACTTCACTAATTTGGGGGGTTATTTTTGTTTTTTTTTGGGGAGTTGACACTGCGGGGGCGACTGCAGCGCTGCGATGCACAGGTGGATTTTTGTTTTTGGGAGTTTTTTTTGGGGTTTGGGGTTTTTGGGGGGAATTAACTCGCGTGAACCTGGGAATGGCGCGGAACGACGCGATGGGGCATGCCGCTAGGGTCCAATACACATTTTCACGGGGTTTTCGGGTTTTTCCGGTGATGACACTTCTCGGGTGGTGAGGAAACTCGTGGAGGAGCGGTTTATCGGGAATTGTACGGAGTCACTGGGGACACGACTTGCTCGGTGAGATCGGAGCGCGGTATGTGACTCAGCAGTCGCTCCGGCAACGTCGGGGCATCGCTCAGGGGCGGGAGGCGACGGGGGGCTGGAGGGGCTGACACGTGTGTGATGAAACTTGTTTTTTTTGCAGGAAAATGAAAACTAGGGTTTGGAAAAGTGAGACTTTGGGGGAGCATGAGAATCGTGTTGGGAAATTGAGAGAAAAATATGGTGGGAAACAAAATTTATTCGGAAATTTGTTGGGGAAATGCTGCGGGATTTCTGTTGGTGAAATTGAATTTCTATTTCACTTGCGGAAAATATTGAATTTTCACTTTGTTTTCATGCAAAAAAATTTTTAGTTAGTTTATTCAATAGCAAACTGAAGAAAAAATTAGAGAAAAAAATTCAATTGATAAAATTGAAAGAGAAAGACATTTTATTGACAAACAAAATTGATTGAATAAATTTTTAATGAAAGTTCTATTGCACTTTCAAAAAAAATTAGAATTTCATTTTTTGATAAAAAAATTTTGAAAACAATTATATTGAAAATTATATTATATTGAAAAATAAAACTGAAGAAGAAAGTCATTTGCAAAAAAGAATTCTGTTGAAAAATTGAAAGAAAGAGCAAATTTTATTCAGAAAATAAAACCATTAAAACAATTTTAATGAAAATTCTGTTGAATTCCTATTACACTTTCCGAAAAAAAATTAAATTTCATTTTTTAATGCAGGAAATTCTAGAAAACTTGGAGAAGAAAAATTCCATTGATAAAATTGAAAGAAAAAGAAATTCTATTGACAAAAAAAATTGATTCACTAAATTTCTAATGAGAATTTTAGGGAATTTCTATTGCACTTTCAAAACAAAATTAGAATTTCAGTTTTTTCATTGAAAAAATTTTGTTTTCAATTATATCGAAAATTATATTATTAAAAAAAAGCAAAACTGAAGAAAAAAACTAACTGAAAAAATTCTATTGACAACGTTAAAAGAAAAAATCTCATTGAAAATTCCATTTAGCTACATTTTGTTTCTGCGTTTGTATTTTGATCGCATCAGAAACGATTCAAGGTAAATCGCAGTATCATCGATATCAGATAAATGATGTTCCTCCACTCCACTCATAAAAGGAAGACTCAAACAGGAAATTATCGCACTGATGTGTGACTTCAGAGGGAAGCCAAAATTCTTCTCGAAATAATTGAACAATAATTAAAAAAGGCTCCAATGAAACAATTTTATTCATCACCCCATGAAAAAAAAATACAAATGAAAATTTTTTTGATCAATCATTCACTTTGCTGACAACAATTAGCTGCTAAAAACAATTGATCAATCGATTAATTAACGGAAATAAGAAAACAGTGGCTCCCCACGCAATGCGCCACTGCATTAACCCCTGACGCACAACATTCATCATCTTTTCCTGCATCTATAGCCCCGCAAACGTCACAAGTCCAGCGATTGTCAGTCTTTATTCCGATCCTTCCCAAGAGGTCATCGATTGACCCCCGTCAATAGATCCGAAGTACTTCGTCCGCGAGCCCCGCACTCCAGCCCAAAAAATCTCATTTTTATTTTTTTACCAACTCCGAGGGTATCCACTTCCGTCTTCAATCCGGAATGTCTTCAAGACGCTTGTATAACTCCGTTGTTATCAACCAGATAACGACGTCAAATATTAATGATAATTAATGTGCACACATGGCTGCAGCAGCGCGCACTGACACGGTCATTTCCGATAAAACTCGAAAATTGCGGGACATTACTGGAGGTGAATTGCCGGTTATTATTTTTCCTATTCCGTTCCATTGTGTTACCAGCAATGTCGCATTAACTGCCACTGTCCCGGTTCCTGCCACCCTCAGCGCTTGTTTAATGGATAGAATTTAAAATTTACCGAGGTAGAGTAAACAAATCATCTTAGTGCAAAGAGAATTTTCTATTCCTCCAGTCAGAAAAAAATTATCGCTATCGCACAATTACAAACATTCAAAATTAAATAACAAAGTATCCGCGATCTGTCAACAACTGGCACTTACTGGGACACCACCCCAATTACCCGTGTCCCTATTTCTGCCACTCGTATTTGAGAGCAAGCTGACCTATCAGCATCTTTGACACTATATATTTATAACAATGGGAGGATACATATGCCATCTTTCGATTCATTTCGCATTTTATAGATGATCCAATGTCATTTTGATCATTATTATTCGATAATGATCAAATTCACTGCTGCGGGTGATTTTTCCACCTGACATTAACTGGCACCGAAGGATGGCAATAACTGAGACATGGCCTTCCCAAGTGGCAGAAACTGGCACACGACGGAGGTTGTCCTTTTTTCAAATATTAATTTGTTTGATCATTCATTTGAGGAAATGTCAATTTCAAATGATAAGAAGAGTTTTAGCTATCTACTTGGTGCGTTGATTTGACGAACAGCAAAAACAATATAATTGTCTGAACCTCAGTAACGACGCGGAAACCTTCTAGTGGCATTAATTGGGACATTGACAGTACTTCTATAGAAATTCCTCATTTTCAATTCGTTGAAGTAGTGCCGCGGACTTTGTACGCCGCCATGTGCTGGCGTCGTTGCCGCACGTCAATTGCAAGTGGCACATCGAGACTCAAATTCCACGTTAATTTCATCATTAATTGATTATTGATAATCCTCAATGCCTCATAATTATGAATTGTAAAGGGCGCCAGAACAGGTTGTCCACAATCAACACTATTTCCTGACCTAATTAAGCGTTTCGATAAATCAAAGCTCATTTTGAAGCTTGAAAAAATACCTTGAAAGCGAAGAAAAGATTGAAAAATTTCACTGTACCCCTCCTAAATTATTCAAAATTGAAAAGCAATTTTTATCACTAATTGCGAATTTATTCGTCTCGCGATGGTTTTTTAATTTCAAAATGCGAAAAAGATTATGGATTTATTTTTCTTTTACAATTAGGAGATGTTTTCATACCTTGCATGAGCATTTCAAAGACTTCAAGTGATAATCCGACACAGTCTCCGGTGAGAGCGTGCGCATTCTTGGTAAATCCTCAATTTGCATTTTGAATTATTCTTCAATTCGTCACGAAAAAAAATCAAGTTGAATTCACCCACTGACTGGATCGTCAACAATTAAAAGCACTCACTTATCTTCGGTAATACGTCACACTCGCTTTCACTTTTATTGCCGCGAGCCGCTCACTTTCAATTTCCGCGAATAAAAAAATCGAGAAAAGGGCGAATTGCAAGCGTCACCTAGTGAAGACTGATTTTTCAGTAATTCTTGTTGCGTTCTCCAGAGTTGGCATTGTTTCGTCGATCGTCAGTGTTTGTAGATAAAACCGAAAGACCTCCCTCCACTCACCCAGAGATGTTGATGGACACGGTCACGACAGTCACTCATGAAGTAATGACGTGTAGGGGTTTGAACTGTGGCGGGAAGACGAGCTGTCGGGTTGATAATGTAAATTTCTGAGCATCGACCGCCGTTAAAACACGCTCAACGGTTTTTTTATTGATTTTTTTTCTCAATTCTACGGATCATTTGACAAATGGAGCATTCATAAATTCTAATTACTGCTTCAGATGATGACTTAATGAACGAAATGTTATCATTGAATTAAAATATGGTGAAATTCAAAAAGTTTGACCCCATTTCGAAGACATTTTCATGAGCTATGAAATGAACAAAAAATCATTTTGAAAGTCAATACTTATGTTTGCGAATTTCTATAGAATTTTCCATAGAATAATGGAAAATTTCACTTAAATCAGTTGTAGGAAAAGATCGAAACATAATTTTTTCTGTAAAATATTTTTTCGTCGGTTTTTGTAAATTTGGAAACCTATAGAATTTGGCTATAAGAAATTCTATAGAAATGATAATGTGGAAATCTATTGAGTTTTTATAGTCGCATTTATAGATTTTTTGGCAGAAGACTGCACAGATTATTCTATAGGACGCTATAGAATTTTCTTATAGAATAATATAGAATTTTAATCCAGGAATGGCTATAGAAAAAATTTCACGTGAATTAGTGTCATAAAAGGATGAAAATTTATCAATTTTTTGAAAAATGTTTTGTCCGTCGGTTTCTATAAATTTGAAAATCTATAGATTTTAGCTATAGAAAATTCCATAGAAACCGTTACGTGGAATTCTATAGACTCTTTTACATTTCTCCCCAAGAATTTTCACAGATTGATCTATAGAAAATTCTATAGAATGTTCTATAGGAATTTCTATAGAAACAATCTTAGCAAAATAAGGTATATAGAAAAATGAATATCCACTGATTTTTTGGAGCATCGCAAAATCCTAAATATTAATCAGACGATGATTCAATCCAAAAGAGTTAAATAGATATTTTCAAAATTCTTAAAATTGAAAAAAAAATCATCAAAATCGTACCGTTTGTTCAGGAACCAAAAAAATGGGACATTTAAACATTTAAAGGACTCCTTACAAATGCGAGATGACTCAATGCAAGAGAAATCCCGGCCTGACCATACAAGTCGCGTGAAATGACTCACGACCACAAAATACAGAAGGGAATTCAATAATTTCATCAGAATATTTTTTACAACAAAATATCTATTACAGTACAGTTGATAATATGGTACAAGTAGGTCAAGTAATATGGATATAAAATACAAAACAACAATGAAATTTACACGTTCGAATAAATTGATGACTAGAAGGGCATATTAATGTCCACAAAGATGACACCGGCATTGGCCTATTGACTCCTGTATAAACGTGTTTTTTATCGATGAACAAAGAAAAACGATTTTTTTTCGAAATAGGCCGATTAATATGCTCTCTCTTGAAGATGTTAATAAATTCGATAGAAATCATACTGGCGCTCTATTCGCCTCGACGCATTCATTAAACTGATGATTTTTTTCATTTGCAATTTTTATTCATTCTTCCGATGATCGAGAAATATCAGTGAAAAAATACTCTATTTACATGTAAATTTCTAGCTTGTGCGTCGATTCGTTAATTCGCCATTTTCATTTTTGTTAGTAAATTTTTTTTTGTTTCATTCATCTTGAAGTGTATAAAAATCTACGTATTCAGATAATGACAGGAAAATGTCATCACATAAAGGTATATAAGTATATAATCGTTCAATTGGTACTGGATATTCTTATTTTTTTTTTCGCTTTTTGATTTTGTTGTGAAGTGGCGAAGTGAGTTGTTTTACACGAGGGAAAAAATTCTATAGCATTCTATAGCGTTTTATAACACTGAGAGAAGATTTTTCGCTTCGTTTTTCAATGTCCAAATAAAAATTGGGAACCTACAGAATTGGGCTATAGAAACGGCTATACAGTTCTATAGAATTTTCTATAGAATAATAAAAATCAAGTATAGGCATTTCTGAAGAGCGCGTTACACGGAATTCGATCAATTTTGCTGCTGTAGAATTCATGGTTTTTTGGTATATGGTCCATAAATTATTCTATAGAACTTAGAGAATCTGCGCAATAGACTTGGCAAAAAAAAAAATCAACAGAATTGCACAATCTATAATATTAAAAGATAGTATCTTGTTTCTTTTTATTATGCAGGGAAAATTCTCGTGGTTTCCATAAATTTTGGCAACTCATAGAATTTGGCTATAGAAGATTCTATAGAAATTGTGACGGGGAATGTTACATAATTTCCTAAAGTTTGTAGCCGTCTAATTATCTACACATTTGGAAATTTACAAAATTTCATAAAATGGACCATTCTATCGAACTCTATCGAAGGCGTTACATGGACTTTCTATAGATGTTGGCTATAGAATTTCTTTAGAACTTGTCACGTGATATCTATAAAGTTTTCAGAAATCAATTTTCGGCAAAATTAGAAACTTTTGTCATTAGGCTATAGAATTTTCTATAGAATTTCCTATAGCTGAATGCTATAAGTTCCCAAAATTCCTAGAAAATTCAATCCAAAAAATTTCTATAAATATCATTTCACAAAAAAATTATAGAAAAATGAAAATCGATTTTTTTTTCTATAAATTTTTTCGCACACGTGTCTTCGCAGTAATTGCTATCTCCCATCACCACTTCACTCTTCAATCAAGAAAAAGCAATGATAATTAATCAGCAAGCAGGAGGGACTTTCATAGGATTGTTTTCTTATCAAATAGAAATAGATAGATGTCTGTGGGACGGACGCTCGTGCTTGAAAATCAATATCAGCTGAGAAATACATTATTTGCAAAAGAAAGAAGAAAAAAAAAGAGATTTGAATCTATCATATGCAAAGCGCAGCAATACATTCGTAATAAATATTCCATTGATTTTATTTTCCTTTCTCCAATAGTAAAATATCAGATCTTTTTTTGCTCTTTTTGGTTTAAATCTATCAGCATGGATTTTATATAAACTAGATCCATGCTTGTTTGGACGTACCCCGCGTCAAGATCACAAGGTCCTGTAGCAACATGAACACATGGCACACGACACATAATATTTTGGTTTATTGTTTCTGCATTTTGAATATAGTTATTCCATTTTTTTAAATTTTTGGTTTTCATCACTATTCTGTGAATAACAGTGAAATACACTTTATCGAGTCGATAGAGTCATGATTGTTGGCAAAATAGTCTAATTACTGTATCGTATAATCATAAGAACATTTTGTATTTGCAATGGGAAGAACGTATCGTACCAAATTTATTTACTTCATAATATTGATATGCTAATTCAATTAAATATACTAAATTAAGTTATTGTGCATTCCTGAGAGTTTCAAAATTAATTACTCTAGAATCGAAGTACCGTCGTCATTCGAGTAAATAATCGAGAATTATTATGAAAACAATCTCGATAGAACAAGTTGTACAGAAAAATAAAAATCTATTGACATTTTTCTATCAAATATTCGATAAAACCCATTGATCAAGAGTTCTCGGGAGTGAAAATTGTTTGGAAATGCACGAACTCCAATATGCCGGCGCCGCCATTTTGAAAGCTCCCAAGTATTCAAGATGGCGGTTCAGTGGACGACCACCTCGCGTTTTTGAACATTCTTTAAAATAATTTATACTCTCCGAATTCCTTTCAATTTGCTCACATCCAATTCCTGAAAAATGAACAAATTTTTCAAGCTATTAATTTTTTTTTTCACCCAAATATTTTCACTCCAGAGGCTTCTTGAATTGTTACACGATGTGTTGAGCAGCCGTCCGTTGATCAACGCTCCCCAGGAACGCAACGAATAACACTACGTCATTAATCACAATAAAATTACCTTCACAAATGATATTTGTTGTTTAACCCGCATATTCCTTGAAATTATCAATTAACCACGAATCAACGTCATCTGCATTATTGGCGACCCACCTAATATTCAACTTGATGGTCTCGAGGCTCTGTTCAAGGGTGCGTGCCCCACTGCCGACGTCCACATCCTTGAAGAATTCAGTGACTTCCTGGTGATCGTACTCCGTGAAGAAGTCAGAGATGACAGATGAGATGAGAGGGCCGAGTCCCACGGAGCCATTACCAAAGAGGGCGTGCAGCTGTGGCCAATACGCCTTGACATGCCTCCAGGCGATGTACTGTCCCTCAGGATTGCGGGCAACTGCGGCGATGACAGTCTCGACATCCTGGGACTTGACGTTATCTCTGTCAAGTGACTTCAGGAGATACCGCTGGAGCAGCCAGGGATCGGTGGTGGCACCCAGTGCCTGGAGTATTATCCTCTTTTCACTCGGTATTTGCGTGTTTTTGTACACCTCCCAGCAGTGTCGCCACTCCTTTTCGGTGCCGAATCTTATGCCGGCCACGTAGACGACGTCGCGAATATTCGGGGGTATCTTTTTACCGCGAAGCATCCAGTCCTCGAATAGATTTTTCGCTGGTTTTACTACGTCCTCTAACTGGAGTTCCACTGCTGATTGCAGAACGGCAATTCTCAGGAGTCTGGAAGAAATTAATCGTCAGGATTTCGGTGTGATATAATATCTGTGCGTCGTCTTCACTGTTATTTTTACGAAAATAGGGGAGAATCTGAGACAAGTCGCATTTTCACTTGGTGTGAATTTTGAATGCTATAGAATTTCCTGTAGAATTCCCCGTGCCGAATTCTGCAGAACTTGCTGTAGGGACGGCTATTAATTTTTCTATAGTCTATAGCCACGTAATTATCCACCCATTTTGAAACGGATGCAGATCAAGTAGAGCAACACCTATAGAATTCTATAGGTTTCGTTGGATCTGTGTAAATTATTCTATAGGGAATTTTATAGTCTGTCGTGTTCGCTGTATTTTTTCCTTGAAAATATGGGAGAATCTGAGACAAGATGTGGCATTTTCATTTGGTGTGGGTTTTGAATGCTATAGAATTCCCTATAGAATCCACTATGCTGAATTCTATAGAATTTACTATGTGAATGGATATAGAATTCCCTATAGTATAGGAAACTTATAGAATTTCCCTGGGGGGACCTCTATAGAACTCTATAGAGTTCGTTAGGTCGGCATCGATTATTCGATCGAAAATTCTATAGAATTCCATATAGAATAATCGAGATAATTTTTATATACAACTTCTTCTATTCACATATTTATAGATTACTATAGCGATCTATAGAAATTCTATAGATTTTTTCAAAATCGAATTTTCATTTTCATTACTCGTTTCATCATTTTTAC